AAAACTTCTTTCTTTTCATTATTTCTGGTATGTTTACTTGTGTGAGCTAATTGGAAAAGTGTACTAAGAGGAATTTCTGTTTCTTATTCATTCTAAAGTGAATCCAAGCCTAGTGAAGACTTTGCTCACCTCCTGTAGGGTCATTCTGATGCAAAATTACAAGCTTCTGTAACATCTGCATGTCAGAGTGGGAAAAAAGCATATGCATATTAAGTAAATTCAGCGGTTTGCTACATTTTGCTCATCATGTGTTATCACTAACAGCACCTGTGCTTTTCCTGATATGACAACTGAAAATGTCTGCTGCGAAAAAGGCCAGTGTGCCATCCCTCTGAAGTTGCCCTATGCTATCTGGCAACAAGATGTTAGCAACAGATCATTTAAGTCCTTCAAGTTGTGAGACGGAGGTTCCTCTGAACATATTTTTTATCTTAGCATCATCCCTTTCATCTGTGAGTGGATATAATGTCTTGGCCCATTGGTGTATATTATGAAACATGCAGGGGTATAAATCCGATACATACTGTTACTAAAAGATAGTAGATTGTACCTGAAGTCCACCCTGGTCTCTGTCTGTGAGGTAATTTTCCGCTCTATTGTTTTTAGTTGTGCAGTGTTGCATTTTCTTGTCAGCCTTTTTCCAGGAGCTCTTCTTGGAGTGAATCAATTCTCTGCGGCAATACCATCTAACCTATAATTCTTATCCTCGCTAGAAACAAAATGTTGAAATGGCAGCACATGAAATGAGGGAAGGCAAAGCTACAGCGGGAGGTTTTTTTTGCGTATTTGTCAGTCACCGTGTTGTCGAATAAATCAGAATCCATTTGGGAAATGACTTTTAAAGTTTTAAAAAAGTCTACATTAAAGCTTCATTTGCATTTGAAAGCCTCTCACCTTGAATCATTAAAGGAGTTAGACAACCTTTGGCAAATGTGTGCATTGCATTCCCTGATTCAAACTGTTACTTTCGGGAGTGCTGTCTAATTTGTTTTTGTTTGTTTTCTTTCCTTCTGGAAAAATATATTTTGTGACAAAAAATGCATTTCTTCCACTTCAGAGATATTATTTTTTTCTCTACCAACCTTCCAAATCTTTTTATTTTCTAGGTTATAATTTCCCTGCACAGGAATGAATACTAAAAGCTATTTCAGAAGCAACAGCTGCCTCCCAGATACACAGAATATACCGTGACTATGCACTAATGTGGCATGAAAAGAAGAGAGAATGTTTTTTATTACTTTGACATGTGACACCACTGATTTTAGCTGTGCATGAAGAAAACAAAAAAGGCAATGTTTGAACCCAAGTACCGTGCAAATATCTTGAGCCACCCCACATTTCTTTATATTTTACTTTCAAAGGTACTTTCTTCAATTTTTTTTTATTTTTTAGTGTCTTACAGGACAGCTCTTTAGACTTTTTTTTCCTCATTTGGACCGCTTTTCACTGATTTTCAGTCCAGTCCTTGAACCTGACCTGTAGGAGTCATTTTTTTGTGTTGTTACCTCATGTGTGCCGCTAGGGGTCACTTTTTGTAGAAACATGTAATTAGCGCCAGGTGTTATTGGTCGAAAGAAGCAAACAGTTTGTGACCGCTGCGCTGTTGTGATAAATGACGTTGGATAAAGAGAACTGTTCAACAACTACTGATGGAAGTGCATTAAAGATGGGGCAAGACAAAATAAGTACGGCTGGAGTTACTGGACTGAAGTTTCATGCATAACAGTGGCGTCGCGTCACCAACGAACACCTCAGTGGTTTCAAATGTAGGTTTAGCCTCTACATGGCCGTTATTAGAGGAATGGGGTTTTTTTGGTTGTTAAGCCAAAAAACAATTGAGTCATTCAAGCATGAAAAAACGTGCCTACTGCAACTCTATTAAGTGGAGTCTATGAAAAATCCCAGAGATAAGAGAAAGTAGCGTTTTTGCACCAACATGGTGATTCCCAAATAGTTATTAACTGGAAAGTTGGCATATTTCAGCATGGTGTGCAGTATATCCTTAAAAGATTGGGGCGAACTGAACAAGTGGAGAACAAAAGAAGAAATAGCAAACCTAAAATAATTTCTACAGCAGATGAGCAGTATCTGAAAGTCATGTCCTTAATAAATATGAAGAAATCCAGTAAAGACATGACACAGGACCCAATGGTTACATCTGGCCCTTCTACTGTTTACTGTAGTCTAATTTGGCTACGTTTTTGGTTTTGGTTATTCACTCCACTTGGGCACATTCTACGTGTCACTTACTGTTTACTTTTTCGTGCAATGGGTATGACAGAAAGAGGTGCTAACATGCTAAATAATGAACTTGAACTTTCAGAGTTCTTCAAACAAGAGCTTTCAAGAAGTGAAGTGTTTTCAGGTTAACACACAAGCAAAAGTGTTCTATAATGTTTTAAATTGGTGCTTTGCATACGGAATAAACATGTGTAGTCAAAGACTGTAGACCTTCACTTTGTGACTCAGGGAGACAAGAAGCCATTTTTAAGATAAGATAGATGAGATAAAATACACTTTATTAGTCCAACAGGTAGGAAAATTCACATTATTAAAAAAGCAAAGTGGACGTGGCAGAAATAAATAGATGCAGCACAACTGATAATGCTATACAGAAGCAATAAAAGAAAATGTTACAATATAAGGTAGAAGAAGATTAGATGCCTAGAAGCAAACCAGGATACTTCATAGTGGCATAGCAGGCATTGAGTGTTGAACTTTGAAATATGTACAGACCACAGAGTGTGCATGTGTGTGTTCATATGTGTACAATCACTGCTGTCATGCATTTACTGCTGTTGACTCTGACAGCAGATGGAAGGAAAGACAGCTTGGCATGCCGTGGGTGCAGCAACCTGTCACTGAAGGAGATGCTCAGTGCTGTCAGAGCGACCTGCATGAGATTGGAGGTGTTCTCTAGAAGGGATGACAGTTTAACCACCATACTTCCATCTGGTCAGGAGGGTGTCCCAAAACAGAGCTGGTCTTCTTGAACAGCCTGTTCAGTTTTTATTATCCCCAGCAGACCACACACACACACACACAAAAGATGGCAGATTCCACCACAGAGTCATAGGAGGAGTTCAGGAGCTCCTCTTGCACTCCAAAAGACCTAAGTCTCTGTAGCAGATACAGCCTGCTCTGTCCTTTCCAAGATTGCATTTCTCTTGTTAGTCCGGTCCAATTTATTAGTCAGTTGAACACCCAGGTACGTATATGAGTCCATCATCTCGATCTCCACGGAGATTAAGAGGGTGAAAAAGCGAGAAAAGGCTTTGCTATGCCAGTTTACGTAAGAACTAAACTGAAAGTCAGTGGCAACAGGTCTTACGGAGTAATCCAAACCTGAATGTTTTTAACTGAAATTGTTGTCAACATGTACGGAGGAGGTCAGGAGAGAGGCACAACAATGAGTGTCTACAGCCATGTAAAAGAATAAAGGTGACCAAATATTCACTTTAAAGCGTGTTAGAATTGTACAAACTGTGTTTTGCCTTGAATTCTGTAATTCCACGTATGTTTGTTCATGACTAAATAAATCACTGCAGCTGTTTTCCTGGCAAAATTTTAAGAAAGGCTCAAGATTTTTGCACAGTACTGTACATGAGCTTTTTTCTTTTAATGTCTAAAAGTTTTATATTTTTTTCCTGATTTAGGCAACTGAAACAATGCTGCAGTTAAATTTTAGTTCAGACTTTGTGTATGATAGCATACACAGAGTATCAAGACACTGGTGGCTCAAATAGAATTCACATGCACTGATGTGATAAATGTTTGCCTTTCTTTGGCCCATCCTTGATTGTGCATCACTTTCAGTTTGTTTTGCAGTATGGAAGAACCGTCACATGCGCACCGTGACAAACTATTTCATAGTGAATCTTTCCCTGGCTGATGTGCTGGTCACCATTATCTGCCTGCCTGCGAGTCTTGTGGTAGACATCACAGAGACGTGGTTCTTTGGAAACACTCTCTGCAAAATTGTCCCTTATCTGCAGGTAAGCCTTGAACCCTGACATCTGCTTTTCAAACAGGATATTGGAATCTTTGACCTTTTCATAAGCAATTCACAAGGTCTGTGGATGCAAGCCAAGCCATTTCTATTATTCTACCATTTTTCTCCATGGTATTCATGAGGGTAAAAAAAAAAACCTCTTTTTCATATCCCCCAGGATGTGCACTGAGTGAGACCTTTGATGTTACTCTAAAGTGATTTAATGCCTCGGGCAACACTGCTTTAGCGCCACTCTGGCAATATGTATGCAAAAAAGACAATCTTATTTAATATTGTTGATCACAATGATATGTATCGAAAGCATGAACCAAAGTCCCAAACTACCCTGCACAGATTATATATCTCATACTCTTAATAGACTGTGTTATATTATATTGTTTATGCACAGCAAAGTAAATTCTAGCCTCATGGTGGCACGACTTTCACTATATGTTCTGCAGGGATGCAGCTGTAAAGCAAAGAAATTCTAATGTGAATTCTTGTGTGTCAGGAGCTAGTTTAGCAAACATGCTGCACCTCATGGCAATTAATTAGCAATCTCTTTGAAGGTTTTCATAGTGACATTCACCCCATTTACTGTTGAGCTTTGTATCATAAACTGCCGCTGCAGTATTTGCTTGAGGGCCATCTCCCGCTGCTTTCTTTTTAAATCCAGGAGCATCAACTCTAATTCCCCTTTGGTGATTCATTTTATGTAACATTTTGGTATGATTCCTATTCTACTGTTCTACATTGTATGCTGGGGGTCTATAATACCTTGAATAGGTTCACAGCAGGGCGCAACAGAAGCCAAATGCAGCACATTGTATAATATTTTAAAAAGGGGGTCCATATTTCAGCTTGCAGCTGGTGTCCGGATTAAACCCATCCATGATTTCCCAGTGTAATGTGCAAGCAAGTGAAAAATGATCATTGCAATTTACAATGAGCAGTGTGGTGGAAATAATGCTGTTTTGGCCTAAATGCAGCAGGTTGTTTTGTGTGTGTGGGAACGTCATTTTAACATATACATTTCAAAGCATTTAAATGTCACAGACAGCTCCTGTTGTCTCGCAAACAATGATTCCCTTCCCTCAAGGTTTCTCTCACTGGTTTCAGTGTTTACATATGTTTCATATTCAGCATACTTCACCTGTAACCATCCAGGATGCATCCAAACTCAATAACATCCAAACTCAATGAACAATTGACTTTCTGTCAGTTGAAGGGCAATGAGGATGTGCCCTGCTCTGCCTAAGGTGCAATCTTTCCTTTCTTTTTTAAGATAGTTTAAATGAACATTTTAAATTAGGCAGCAAGATTTATTTTAAGCTAACCCTTTACAAAAACAAGGAACCACTGCCTTTTATTTCCAAGAAAAATTGACCACCCACTGCTTTTAAACCTGCACGTGGAATTTGTGCCGCTGCTCTGAAGTGAACAGACTCATCTGCAACACAGAGATAAGAGCATCTCCAGCATAGGAGGTGTCCCATGCATCAGTGTTTGCCAATCTATGATTCAGGTCTACAAATACATGTTCTGAAATTATTTTCCTCATGAGCATTTAGTATTTTCTGTAACAACTGCAAACTGTATCAATATTAAATGGTGAACATCTTTGTGTATCTAGTTAAAAGTTTTTTTTTTCATTCTTCGCAGACCATCTCTGTTTCTGTATCAGTCCTAACGCTGAGCTGCATCGCCCAGGACCGTTGGTATGCGATCTGTCACCCACTGTTGTTCAAGAGTACAGCCAAGAGGGCGCGCAAGAGTATAGTTGTCATCTGGGTTGTGTCATGTATCATCATGATCCCCCAGGCCATCGTGATGGAGTGTAGCAGCCTGCTGCCTGAACTCACAAATAAGACCAGTCTGTTCACGGTGTGTGATGAGCACTGGGGAGGTTAGTTTTCACAGTTCACAAACTAAATGAGCGCATTATGAAAATGTATGTGTCCCTCGCTGCTAGAAGCACAGTTTCAACTTTAACTGAATGACTCACTAAATTACTTAAACAACAACTGCAGTGACATTTATTAAGCTTTTCCACCCCCAGTATAGATGGGTTGATCACGTGTCATACCACTTTTTATCCATAAAGCGTGAGCACCTAAGCGGGATGGATGGATGGATTTTGCTTTGCTCAGATGAAATAGCTCAGGATGCCTCTGTGATTGAAGAAGTCAAAAGAGGAAAACCTTACAAAGAGAGGAAGCTTTTCATCTACTCACATTAATTATATTACAGTAATGATGGGTACCTTTAATGACTACCTTTGAAACGTGGATTGCTTTCTTTAATAAGCTTGCAGTCATCATTGAAAGTGTGCAGTGCAAGACTGACAGGCAGAGCAGTAATAAGAGGAAAATTATGTTTTTTGTTACATAAAGTACACAAAAATGTCAGAAGTTGATGAGGGGTAAATGAATCAGTAATGACTAGATTTTTAAATGGCAGTCAGTCAGTATCTCATGAATGACTCTGATCGAAGAACTATACAAGGACAGAACACAAAGTTCAGAGACTCCGCCCATGAAAACAGCCTTACCAAATTTGCATTTGGCCTAACTCACCTCTAATTTCGTCTCCTTCAGCAGCACTCCAACAACCTTTCACAGATGCTGTTTTTTCTTGAAACGTTTGCGCAAAACTTGATTTCCTGTAGCATGTCAAAACGGCAACCCCTCAACTTCATTTTCATTCTAAAAAGTTATCAAAGTAGTTAAAAAACAAGATAAAATGATAAATATGACTGAGGAATTCTTCCGTGTGCTGATGCAAGATGGCAGGATGACACAGTGGTATGCACCACAGTTCAGGTTGTCTGAAATTGTGGCATGAATTCACAGTGCTCTGTCAACAGAAGAATAATTATGAGCAAGAAGTTGAACCCCTTACTTATTGTGCCACCTTTGGGTTTGGACGCTGAAGATTCTTGTTTTGAAAGCAGCTATTTGGCTGACTAAGAGGCAGATCAGCTTGGCAAAAAAGTGGATGTTTGCTGGATGCCTGCACTGGCAAATGGTGAAAGTTGTCAGGCCTTTCAGGAAACAAAAATACCAGCCACATGGTAAACTGGGGGAAACTTAAAGGGGAAACTGACTATATTTGTGGAATCTGCTGAATTTGGAATTTTATGAGTAGTGTTGCAGAACATTTAGTATATAAAAAAAGCATTAAACTTTACCCGCTCTCAATCATTAAGCCATTAGTTTGTGCCACTCAACAGAAGGTTCAGTTAATAATAAGCCGCTTATGAAAAAGTGGTCAGTGGACATGTTTGTTCTCTAGACGATCTTCATTATCTGCTTTTTAGCCTTTAACTACTAAGTAACTACTCATGTTTTCTCTACAATATTAAGTGTTTCCTTTTAAATCCTTCAACAGCTGAGATCTACCCAAAGGTGTACCACACCTGTTTCTTCATTGTCACATACTTCGCACCACTGTGTCTCATGGTCTTGGCATACATTCAGATTTGTCACAAGCTGTGGTGTCAACAGGTGCGTATTCCACCATTTGCTATAAATATTAATTTCACAATGGGCTTCCAGGGTCTGGTGTGCGAGTGTATCCACTTTAATGTATTCATTCAACAGATTCCTGGAAGCACATCAGTGCTGCAGAGGAAGTGGAAGTCTATCAAATGCTCAGCTCCAACTCCAGGACCGGGAGAGTCGGTGAGGGTTAGAACCAGCACGGTTTGTGCTGAGATCAAACAAGTCAGAGCCCGGAGGAAGACAGCTCGCATGCTGATGGTGGTGCTCTTTGTTTTCGCCCTGTGCTACCTGCCAATCAGTGTGCTCAATGTCATGAAAAGGTAATAATCTCTCAAGGAAGCTCTGCTGCATCCCGGATCTACAGTAGAGCTTGCTATAAGCCATATTTTATATAGTTTTTCCCCCCTGACAGGTTTGTGATTAAAATGCATGCATGCATGCATGCAAAAAAAAAAAAAGAATGAATAAAATGATACCATGTTTTTTTTCCTCCAGAGTGTTTGGGACATTCAAGAAGACAAACGACAGAGAGACAGTGTATGCGTGGTTCACTTTCTCACACTGGCTCATATATGCCAACAGTGCTGCAAATCCAATCATCTACAATTTCCTAAGTGGTAAGTTTTGAACTCTCCTCTAAGGATTCATTACTGCCCTCTAGTGAACAAACTGGTAACAACAACACAATTCACAGCTTTATCTGCTAATAACCTGAAAACAGAAAAATGTAAATGCGAGCTAAAGTTGATTCTGAGAAAGCAGCAAGTTCTTAATTCATGCATTCATGAAAGAAAAGCTCTTAGAATGATTCGCTGTGATGCCCAGCAAATTAAAGCTATTTTTGCAAAACATTTAAGCTATTTTTAATGCAAGCTTGTAGATGGTTTTTAAAGAAGGTGGACTTTATAAAGATTTTGTTGTGGTTTTTTTCTTAAGGGAAGTTCCGCGAGGAGTTCAAATCAGCCTTTTCTTGTCATTGTTGTGGCCAGCATGAAAATGAAACAAGGAGGATAAGGACCAGAACGCGCACAGACAGTCGAAAATCCCTCTCCACTCAAGTTCACAATGTGGACAACGTGTCACGCATATCAGATCAGATGGTGTAGTCGTCTTATATTCCAGCTGGGGCGCCTGAAGGACACGGTGATCTTTAAGTTAGACGTGTGATAATGTGCAGATCTCATTATTTTTGGATGACATTTAAAGGGAAAAGAATTGTATTTGATGTTTTCTGTTTGGTTAATTTGAAAAGGACAGACTTTCTCTCTTCTGTTATGCAAATGCAAATGTTGATTAATTATGAAAGACACAGTTTGTTCAGTGTTTTACATCTCTCTTTTATGTGTAATTTCTGTAAATTTTGTATGTATTTTTGTTTTGGTTTGTCTAATTACGTCTAATTAAGTGGTAGCATCACCTTTGATATAACTAGCTGGTTTAAGGGATTTGAAGCTTTAAAGGTGCAGTCGGTCACATGTCCATCTCAAGTCCTCAGTGTAAATGCCCAGAAATGTATGTTCCTGTGCACTGAGTATGTTAATGAAGCCAGCGCAATTCATCAAAGTACAGAATATTCAATGTGACCCCTGCATGAACATGACCGCAATGTGAAGCCTGTTTCTTGCATTTGAAACACTCCAGGTTTGTGTTTGGATAACATCAGCAAAGCAGACATTTTCCAGCAAAATATATGTTACAAAATAATCACTGTGGTTGAATTTTTCAGCTGTGGGTAAGAGCTGCTCACTGTCACATTTACAGGCGACTCTATGGTGGGTTGTTTTTTATACCGATGCTAAATGTAAAAACAAGAAACATGTCCTGCATGTGCTTTCCATTTTTTTTGTGGCAGTAGTCTGCAAGCATGTATGAATAATGTTAACTGTGTTGCCCACATATTTTGCTGATTATCTGTTATTACTTAATTATCTGCTGTTTTAAGTTATTACTGGGTCAGAAAAAAGTGAATTATGGCAAGATTTGAAACTGTTTGCACAGATGAAAAAACTATCACTGCGTCAGTGGATCCTCAACTTCCTCACATACAGACTGCAATCAGTGAGGGTGGGAAAACAAGTCCCCCCCTCCATCTCACTCAGCACTGGAGCGTCTCAGGGCTGTGTTTTAAGCCCCCTGCTGTACTCACAGTACACTTATGACTGTGTAGCCACATCAGACACCACCTCCATCGTCAAGTTTGCTGACGACACTGTTGTTGTGGGCCTGATCTCCGACAACATCGAGACGGCCTACCTGGTGGAGATTAGGAACCTGGAGACCTGGTGCCAGCTGATCGTGGACTTCACTACAAAGCAGGCGAGGAATTACAAACCCCTCATCATCAGTGGCACGCCAGTGGAGAGAGTGGACAGTTTCCGATACCTGGGTGTCCACATCACTCAGGACCTCTCATGGTCCTGTCACATCAATGCCCTGGTTAAGAAAGCCCGTCAGCATCTGTTCTTCCTCAGAAGACTTAGAGACTTCCATCTACCACTGAAGGTGCTCAAGAACTTTTACTCCTGCACCATCGAGAGCATCCTGACGGGAAACATCTGCACCTGGTTTGGGAACAGCACCAAGCAGGACAGACGAGATCTGCAAAGAGTGGTGCGCTCGGCCGAACGCATCATTCAATCAGAGCTCCGTGACCTGCTGACCAAAGCTAGGAAGATTATGATGGACCTCTCCCATCCCAACAATGGACTCTTCTCACTGTTGAGGTCTGGGAAGCGCTTCTGCTCCCTTAAGGCCAAAACAGAGAGAATGAGGAGGAGCTTCTTCCCCCAGGCTATTCGGGCCCTGAACCAGGTGTAGGACTGGACTCTCCCACACACATCACATCACTATAAGACTGGACTCTCACACACATCACATCACCACACGCACTCTGGTTTTTCTTCATGCACACTTCCTGTAATTTATAATCTCTTTCTGCTATTTGCACATTTTTACTGTAAATTTCTAAGTTAAATCTGTAAATTTTGTAATAACCTGTAAATTGTAAATACTATAAAACCACTGTCATTTAATGGTCGGGCATTGCATCGCACAGCTTCAAGCATTTCACATTATGTCATACTGTGTATGGTTGTGTGTGTGACGAATAAAATTTGAATTTGATTTTGAATTTGATACGCTGAAAATTGTATTTTGTAAAATAATTGTAAATTTTTTTATTTAAAGTGTAAGTAAATATTTATTGTGATAGATTTATGTATCAGAATAAGAAAACAATCCAAATCTTGATCTCTGATTCATCAGGACATTTTTCTGCTCCAGAACTCTTGGTATCAATGTTTTGACCTTTTCTTGATAAGAAATGATTGTACTGACAGCTACAATGCGTATTGTTTTTCTTCTTCTTCCGTATACTTCATTGTTTCTTTCGCAGGAATGGCCTACTCGTACTTGATGACACACTTAGAAGTTGCCGTTGAGCATCTCTGATAGAGCATCTGGGAGGTCAAAGGCTTTGATCAAGGGCATCTCAGTGGTGAAAATGAGGCAATTACAAACATGCTTTTTCATGTTCCCCACCAAAAATTACCTGCTGCTGCAGAGACAGCGTGTATGAAGCCTTCCTCCCATTTCTAACCAGAACAGTGAATTTCCCATTTCAAACGTGCCTCATTCAGATGAGCAACTTGCAGCCTGACTCAGTAATTGCAGTCATTCGTAGCAGCCGATTTGGATTGTCAACACTTTGCTGTGGTGGTTCAACAGCATTGGTTTAGAACGGCAGTCAGTCGGGCATATAGTATTTGGTGATATCTTAAATATGCATGAGCTAGCATTTAAAGACAATTGCTGCAGCTTGCCCTGTGTGTGCCTGAGAAGCACAGTTAATGCCCACATACATCATTTTTAAAAAGGGTTCCCTAAACTGTGCACAACTGTTTGTATGTGTGCCGAAATGTTAACGCTAACATGCAGGGCTATTTTTATTAGTTGCTTGCAAGTTTGATTTTATGTCAGTGAATGAAGTCTACACACACAAATACACATATGGCTAACCCTGTTCACAAGCAGCGCTGACTTTTTGTCAGACCCCTCATCCAAACAGCATCAGATATGACTTCCTCAAAACTGCAGCAATTGCCTAGGGTGAAGTGGATCAGAGTAATGGTTGTGCAGAACAGAAAGACATGCACACAAGTCTTTATGCAGAGAGCACCCTGATTAAACCGATGTCCCTTCAAGAGTAGCTTCCATCTTTCTTGAGAACCCCTCACCCAGTGAACGTGAGTAAGCGGCTGAAGCCATTCATTTTAGCTACTTGCACATTACTGGAAGAAGATAAAAGCAGAAAATTTATTTAAAGAGTATTTGCAAAGAGATTTACAACTGTACACTGCAGCACACTGGAAACTCAGAGAATCCACATCCTCAAACATACAGCACAACAGTTTGCATTCAGAAACACAAAGCAAATATTAATCATCAGTGTAATCAGCAGTAGACAAAATCCTTAAGACAAAGTGCTATAGTTTGGATGCAAAGGACAAAAATGAATAAACAAGGAGGACGTGGAAATCTTGTCAAATCAGGCTAATCAGTTTAAATAAAACTAAAAAGGCAATCAGGAAAAAGGCATAATAGGAAAAAATGACAGAAAAAAACCAATAACAGGAAACAGAGAGGAAAACAATCCCTGCCAGGGCAGCATGATTGTAATTAAACTAGGTTTGATTGTTCAGTTCAGCTTGATGTGTTTAATGTGGGGAAATTGTTTATGAGCATAGATTAGATTTATTAATTATGTTTATAAATTTTATAGACTTTAAACTATGACTATGACACAACAACGACACATGTGGGACGTTTTTCACAAGAATTTCTTCATTTTGAACTAAATGTGAAATGTTTGCATCCCCACATAAAGTATTTAGAAAACCCTTCTCAGCCCAGGTCTTGAATGCTGTTCAGAGTAAAACAGTGCATACAATTGTCTTTAACAACTTCTGAATAGACATGAAGCTGTCAAATTAAAGTCTCTTCTTTTTGCATCACTTTTTACAAAAATGTATAATGTATCTTGTAACTTTTTCCAGTGCACTTTAAGCCTTTTTGTCTTCCAATGTTTCATACTTCATTGTGCAACACTTTGATCAGTATTTGTTGACTTTTTTTTTTTTGCTTGATAAATAAATCATCTTGATTGGAGGCTTTATGAGAGTTAATCACTGTTGACTTCTAGCCACTAGGGAGCAGTAGAAATGAGCTAAAAAGAGAAGGTTATTGAGAGAACTTATTGAATAAACTCTTTTAAATATTTTACATTTTTCTTGTATTATTGTACTTTGTCACTGGTCTATTGAAAAACTATATAGTTTGTCCCATTGCCTTTAGTTGAATATATGAAAAATGGCAAAATGACACAGTTTGACAGCCATAAAATTGTTTTTTTTTTTTCCAACAAAGAAATTATCTAAATGCTATTAGGTTAAAATTTGGCATGGTGTGCAATTTGTCCTTAAAAAATTTTGAGGATGAAGGCAGAACAAAAGCAGAGGATAAAAGAAGAAGTGGTAGCTCTAAGAAATTATGCCACATTCCTAAAAGTATTCACACTCCTTCCTTCACACACATGTGAACTTGAATGACAGCCCATTCTAAATCCATATAAAATATAATAAAATGTAATAAAACACCTTCAACTCTTCTGGAAAGGCTTTCCACAAGGTTCCACTGACTGTGGAATATTTAGTAGCGAGGAAATTCCAGGACTGCACTTGTTGCAGAGCGACCCATTCTTTCACAAATGTTTCGAGAAGGGACACAGATGTTTGAGTTTATACACCTGTCTTCATTAAAGTGATTGGAATAGCCGAATTCAGCTATTTGGATGGGTAAGTGGTTCATTTTGACAGTGTAGTGTATCTTTGTTTTGGTTTTTGGTTCAAATCATCTTCAGGATGTAAGGGCATGTCGACTGGCAACAGCAGTAAAATCATACCTGGCAGGAAAAGACACAATGCAACACTTCAGTCATGGATTGGTCTCCCAAGAACAACATTGAAGCCTCAAGCCATTAAAATATTAAATAATATTAAAAGTCTTTTGTTTGCTTGTTTGTTTGTTTTTTGATTATTTAGAGCACATCCAAATGCATTTTGTCTGAAATGTGCTGCATAAATATGTTTACTTTCCTCTTAGTTATTGTTGGAAAAAGAATGCAAGTGAAAACAATCTGACACAAATTTAAATCAACAGATCAGACCAGGGATCAACTGTTTTTTATTTCCTATATCTGAAGTAATATCGCACTACTCCTAAGAGATAATACTATTACTTAAGCCCACAAAATATAATAATGACAATATTAAAATACTATATGCACTAATTTTTTCCCCTTTTTTGTTGCAGCTCTGTTTCATTGCATTTGTCATTTTTATTCTAAGATGCAGGGTACAGCCTCCAGTAAATGTGTTACATCCTCCTGACAGCGGGTGGTGTATCCCAGCTTAAATGCTGACACCAACAAGAGGGACACATCAGCTGCTGGTGAGAGCTTCATTTGTCTGCTCAAAGCTTTGCAACAGCTATCATGCAACTGAGACGACTAGAAGCTGCAGTCATATTTGGTGAGTTTAAGCCGAACCATTACCATAAAATTACAGATTTCTGATAGAACAAACAAACAAATTGATTAGTGTTATTGTATGTTTTTTGTGCTATAAAATTAGCATTACTAGAAGTGTTTCATGTCTTGTAGTTTGTACCACATGTATAGTCAAAGCGTAGCTACAGTTAGTCATGTGAGACATTAACATTTAATTTTTGAATGTCCCTTTTCATATAAAACCTCAAGACAAAACTTATCTCCGTGAAATAAATCCACATAAAAACCAATGATAAAGTAAATAAATTCTTAAAGTCTGCTTGTATTTCAGTGATTATTGCTCCTCAGATTTCATTGCTGGCTTCTGAGTGTTTGGCTGCTGTGAAAATCTGCATGTCAGATTTATGCAAGCGTGAACAGGCATTTTATGACGGCATCTGTGAAGGTAAAAAAAACACATTTCCATTATATTGTTATTATTACCAAGGGTTGAGACACATAAGTATTACGTAAAGTGATTACATTTCCTCAGGAAGTTCAGCAAATGAGACTATTCCACCGAATTGCTTTTCATGGAAAATGGCTAAAATGTAATAAGTGAGGAAACAGCCCGAAGCAAAATGTATATAACAAAATAAAGTGACAATAAATCACTTTTCTGATGCCTTTAATGCACACAGTATGTCTGTTTTGACATCGAAATCCTCCATTATTACACTGAATTTGATATACCAGCCTATATCGGGATACATAACCAGACATCACGAGGAAAACTGTCAGAGCAGCAGGCACATAGAAAACACCTGTTGCTCAAACAAGACCTTGCTCGCTTATGGAAAATCCTGTTTTTCCACCTTCCTCTTATGTTTATGTCATTCAAGATGGAGGGTGCCAAATAAAAGGCTCAGAGGTCTGTAACATGACCATCCAGACAATACTGCACCAATTTCCTTCTCTGCCAGGGTGCGTGTGTGCCTGGGAGGAGGAGCTTTGTGATTCTATACAAGTGCTGGCCACACAATGCCACCAAAAGCCAGGTGCGGTATTCTCAGAAGTCTCTACGATAAGCATTTAGATGTGAAATTACGTTTTTGTTTGCCAAAGGTGGACAATTATTGCACTACAAAATGACTTAAGAGGATCTTTAATGTGCCTTTGTTGGTGGGAGAGATAATCATGTTGATTATTTGAACAGCAGTTCAGCTCATGAGGAGTGCAGTAATGGATTGGCAGTCAAGCACTTTATTAAATTATGGTAATTATATTTTATTACGCTAATCTCAGATGAAATCTAGTGAAGATGAGTCAAAACTGGTGAAACCCATTCACTACCTTTCTCTCTCTTTGTTTTTTAGTATATGATGGTGCCGGATCATGTTTGGATCAATTTAGGGCTTGTCTCAGCGATTCAGTTTGCAACAGGTTCCTGGCTCCTATGCTCCAAGCCTGTAAGTCAGGCCAGTGCAATGATGAAGGGTGTCAGCAGGAAACTCTGCAGTTCTACAGGAACGTACCCCAAAATGTTGCAGAGATGCTGGTCATGTGCGAGTGTGAAGCTTCAGATCAGAGCTGTCTGAGCATGAAAACCGAATTGCACAGTGGCACCTGTGGAGATGAGATCCGGGTCTGTCAGCGTGTACTTAACCAGTGCACTGAGGACAGTAACTGCAGGTATGCTGTTCTGTCCTCAGATGTTTTTTGTTTTTTTTTTGTTGTTGTTGTTTTCAGGATTATTGTACAAATACTATTATTATTAAATGCACGTTCGGGGATGAAACCACCAAATCAGATGCAAATTCATTGTTTGCACAATGATGAAATGTATGAGCAGCATCTGGCGGATGAGATTGCTGGAGGGAATAACAAAAGCTGATAGGAACATTGTTGTGCGAGGCATGCGGGGAGGAGAAAAAAGGTGTCTTGTGTATAGGCTGTGCAGCAGGAAGGATAAGCACTTTAAAATGCAAGGAAGGGATTCAGTCAACAAACTAACAATCACTAAATTGGAGAAGGAAAAATAGCGTTCATCATTCGAGAGTCCTTTCCAGCCTTAAAAAGGCTGTGAGTGAACGAGTGAGTGATACTGGAAATGAGTGTATAAAATAATGCCAGCTCACTGCTAGTAACAGAAAAGAAGAAGTCTGCAGAGGTGGTACAATAGTTGAATACGTAACTACCAACACTGAGCCAGACACAGAAATAACAAAATGTGAATTCTCAACCTTTAAGCGAACAATGAAGAAGAACTAAAGCTGAGGTAGTCCAGTATAGGGCCGCATTAGTGTACAATAGCACTCCTAACCGAAATCCTTTTTACATTGTCCTGTTTGTCCTTTTAAAACATACATGGCAGCAAGCTTTCATAGAGAGTGCCAAGTGCTGGTCCAGCCATTAGGAGCAATTTGTGGTTCAGTGTCTTCTTCAAGTGGATGCCCTCCTCACTTGTCCATACTCGAGCTGATTTCATTATAGAAACCTAGATTTTCAGGTTATAGTTCCATCAAATCCAATGCTGTTTCTTTTTTTTAAAATGGCCATTTTTTAAGACCACATCTCCAATTACTATCTAATAAAAAATTTCAGAAACCACTTTACACGTAGACTGCAGCCTTTTATAATCCAAGTTCCACCTGTGTGATTGGTGCACTTTTCCCGCTGCCATTTTTAATGTAATTCCATAAATATATGTGAAATGATCATGAAGTAATATGTACAATCTACCATAACACATAAACATCTATAAATCACAGCACTCACTCATTCCACATAACACACATTTTCTCTGTATTAACAGGGGCTTATTAGAAAATTTTCAAGCCAATTGTTGGAGTCCTGAAGAAGCCCAGTGCATTGACAGTGACCTCCCAAGAGATGAATGCTTCACCCAGATGGATCCAGAGCTCATCCTTGGTGCAGACGCTGAATGCAAAAGGGCCTTCGTGGCTACTTTAGGCACAGTGCTTCACCATCCTTGTACATGTAAAAGACTCTACAATGACGATCTTCTGACATGCAGCATGATTCACGACGTGCTTCACAATAGATCACGCTTCAGTGAGTATCTTTTTTTTTTTCTAACCAGGCATTTTTAAATGTAACAATCATTTTTCCTGGAAAGATTGTAAATTATTTTTATTTGTATTTCAGTGGCATCTTCAGAAACAATCATTCGCCCCTCTAAACCTCCTCAGACCATTGAATCAGATCATGCTTATGCTTGGTTACAAGGTAAATTTGCATTCAAGAATTAACTCTTAATGCTAATCGTAGTATGATTCACATGAATTTAAATTATCAAAACAATTTTTGAGTGGGTTTGGAATATTTTGTCTTTCCAGATTATCTTCTGTACGTTGTTCCAACCATCCTGCTTGCTGGTGTCATATTAATGCCTCTGGTTATTGTCAGTAAAAAATGGTAAGCATCGGTGTTGAATCAATGTTAAGTCGCTTTATCAAAATATTATGTATAATTTACTTTTATTTCTGTTTCCTTGTAGGATCTCGAGAAAGAGAGATAAAACAAAATTTCACCATCCACAGAAAAGCAACTGTGTCGTTATTCTCTGATGTTTATTCCTCTTCCCACTGAATAAAATAATCATCATTTTTTTCTCTTTTAACTCAAGATCACAGCTGAATAGATTCGTGAGGTTCCTTTGAGTTTGCTGCACATGCAGTCATCTCATATTTCTTTGCTGTAATAGGTAATAGAGTTTATTAAGAAAATAACTAAATTGAGAATGCTTTAAAACACTGTCATCGATAGCCAAAATGAATATTGTTGTAATCATCCTTTGCAAAGGTCTCCACACTTTGTTTTTCAAAGTACTTGGTAGGTGATTGATGAGTTTGACATGAGGGCTCTGTGGGAGTCATACAATCTGTACAAGGACTGATTGTTCTTCTTGCTGTAGTTCAGTAACTCTAGGTCTAGAGTTGCCGTATGTTTGAAGCACTTGTCACACTGCCAAGTGGTGTTACTTGATTGATAAGACTATAAGAAGCTTTTGCACATCCTGTGAAGTAGCATTGTTTAGTTCTTCTGTAGTGCACCCTTAATCTTTGTGTTGTTGCAAACAGTGATCTTGTGCTGCTTTATTAAAGAACATATTGTATATTTGTAGATACAACCTTTATGTTTAAAGTTAATTGAAAAGATTTTGTTGTTAATCTTTCACACCGAGACTTATTATAGAAAAAAACAACAGATCTGACAGGTTTAAGATTGCTTTAAGTTATAACTTCAAGTGTGATGATTTATTTGTGCTTCATCTCACTCTTGTGCTCTGTCCCTCTGTATCTGATAATAAACTTCCCACTAAAAGCCTTAAAGCCCCACAGTTTGTTCAAAATGCTACATTTTACGTGACGATTCCTATAAAAGGAGCTTTTAAAGAAAAACTTCAAAATCAGAATTTAAATCATTTCTCATTTTTTTTATAGTTCCAGTCAGTGTGCATGAAAGCCTTCAACCTGAAGCAGTGAACACAAAAAGATTTGTTTTTCCTTTTATTAGTTCATAGACAGCTATCGAGAAAGCCCTGTCAGCATAGTCCACTTAGTCCTGGAATCAGGGACAGAGTGGAGCCTTTGGTCAGGTGACAACCCTATTCACCCCTTTGTGCACAAACAGCAGGGGAGAGGCACTGATGGGAGTTATCTGTATTGACCTGTAAACACACTTACTTTAGCATTTGGAGACAGGGTAACGAGGTCTGAGTGGTGGCAAAAGAGAAGCAATTGCAGCAATCAAGATGAGTGGATTTGCTTCACTTTAATCGGGCCAAAGACACCAAATTGTTTTTGTCACTGGAGCTGATCTAACCCTGATTCACTGATCTGCTCTGTTTTATACGATTGAGCTATAGGTGAGTATTTCTGGACTCATTCTGCTCGGGAAAGATTTAAAGTTCTGTCCAATAGTCAAATTAAAGGTCAGTGTGGATAAATATAATTAATGTTTTAACCCATGATGGAATTATTTTTTCTATCATGTTAAGCACACACAACATACAGTCTGATCTTTTGTGTGGAGGGCTCTGTGCCTGTGAGGAAAATGAACAACCATGTCTGGAAATCTATATATTTGAAAGGATGCAACAGTAGATACAGCGATAAATCCAAACACATGCTAAAAAGTTCCCAGCTGGTTTGAAGGCAGGGATTTTTGTTGGACAGGAAGAGTTGATTGGGAGGTAAAGAAGGCTTTTTTCAGGAAAACAGGACAAAAGGGAACTAAACACTAAACAGTGAGCAAAACATGTTCATTCACAGGCAAACACTAACTATTTATATACTTAGGCCTAATTTCAGATGTAGGAGATAATAAAGTACAAAACCTTCACTACCGTACTTACGTAGAACTTTCAGGCATCTGTATTTTACTTTAAATTTTGATGTTTTTGTACAAATCTTTACTTTTTAATTCTTACATTTTCAAAAAGGGGGCCGGGGATTATTTCTGTCACTGCTTGCTTTCAAACATCAAAGCAATTTGAACCTAAATCGAGTGGAAAATAACATAAAAGACAATTCTGTTGGTGTGTGTCTATCGCATGTGCTTATCTCACACAAAGGGATGGAAGACAGAAAAACACATCATCTAGCCATCATATCTAGGACTATGCTCAGGTTTTAGACTGAGTTTGAATGTGGCAGGTGATTTTAAATGCTACATTTCCAACAGCTAAACAAATATTAGCAAACAGACAAACTGTTTCTGCACAGTTTGTCACACAGTGTGTTGCTAGCTAAAGGCACAGCTGCTCTATTTCCCAGGGAGAGAAAACGTGGGCGATAACTTCACTCAGAGATGGAGAAAGGATAAGGAAGGATAGGAAGAAAAAGAGGTCATTTTTAAAGCTGAGGACTGCTCGGTGACATTTGATATACTGGAAATGTAAAGCTTACATTTTAAAGGTTTGGTTCATTTTATAGTTTATCAAACAGATATTGATTACATGAAAATATCTGTCTGTTTAATGCAGGGTTAGTTCACCAGAGTATGTTGTACTCTGGTGAAGTTTAGTGATGGAGCAGAGTGACTGTGGTGATCACAATCAACCTTAGGTTATATCACAGGCAGCAGACATCAAAATAAATTTAAGCTGGTGGTGCTGCTTGGATTCATTCACTGACTTCCACATTTATATTAGCTTTATACAGACTAGTGGTGGGCATTAGCTGTGATAGTTCATGTAACATCTGCTTATATCTTCTTGAATTAGGCTGTGCAAATCCACAAAGAGAGGAAGCAGCACCTACCATGTGATTAAAATCTATTTGTGCTGATAGCAGAAACTACTGGGACTTATTTCTATTCACTTCAGCTGGTCTTAGAGTCCCCCCTGTACCCATTATTTCTGGTTAGGTGTGGAGCCAAAGTTACCCGTCAGTGTAGGCAACAACAAACAGAGCAAATTTTTTTGCTTCGTTTTCTTCATGTTTGTGCTACATAACAGCCGATAGAAATTTGATTAACATTAGAATTGGAATTTAATATAAAGATTGTATTCCTTTATATCGGTGTTATTTTATTATGATATCAATAATGACATGAGGTTCAAAGCATAAGGGAGCTAAAAACAATTGATAAACTCAAACAATGAGTGGAAAATAAATACCAAGAATCAGAGCCTTGTCTAAACAGGCGTCCACAATTCAATGAAAACTAGAAAAGAACCCCATCATAGTAAAACTAAAGCTCAGCCAACTAGAATAATGGAAACATGAACCAAAACACAGGCTTGCAAAACTAGAAAAAACATGAAGTAATTGTAGAAATCAAAGACTCAACAATATCACAAAACACAAAGCCACTATTAGAATAATAAAGAGATCAAATCAGGAATCCAAAACATCAAATACTACAACAATCAAATCTAAGAACCCACAATTTATATCCACAAAAACTCTGGGACCATGACAGTAATTTTTTTTTTCTCATCTTCCACTTTTTGCTTTGCATGACAAAAACTGACCAAAATTATTGGCTGTTTAAGCCTTTCATCTTTCAAAAGATTTTTATATGATCTTAATATTACAAAATTTCACTTACACGGTTGATAATTATGGGATTGAAGCTATCTGATTCCCCTCTTTCTATGTATTTTTTCCCAAGACACATCACTGCACATGACTGATAGATCTAGGAAAACAAAGGTCAGAACTAAGAACCTCTTTGGAGCCATGTGGCCAGTAGAGGGCCCCAAAAGGGTGTAAAATGTCTCACTAAAGTTGTTGTTTGCCATTAAAAGATAACATAAAGTAAACAAACAAACAAAAAACACTCACAAGGGCGAGAACAGCATAGAGGGTAAAGTTGTGGTGCTATTTTAGGTACTACTGTGTTAGTAGCATAACTTAAGCTTCTTGGCTCGCTTGTAGCTACTACCACGACTATGTTCTGTGAGTTTTTGGCTCATAAAAGTGAGAGTCAAATACATTTAATAAGTGCCTTTAATAAGTGTTTACTGTTTTTATAAGGCACAGCTCTGTTAAAATGCATTTACACAAATAAAAATTGTAGATACCAAATCTGCAGCAATATATGGACACTGGCTACTGTTTACCTGGGTGTACTGGGGAATATGAATGCACAGTCAACTATCCAGGTAAGCCAGGCTTAATATTAATATTGGAAAAAAATATCTATTGTCAATAAATATTGTTTGTTTGAACATCGGACATTTCTTAGAGATGGAAACTGTTTTAAACAGACTGTAGTGGGAGCACTGGGTATCAGGTGTGACTAAATGTGGTTCACATGGTTCACAGGCAGAATTTTGCTTGGGGGTGGAGACAGGTCAGGACTGAGTCTGTGTGCAACTGCACATGAATGCATAATTTTCTTTTTTGTTACGTGATTAAGATGGACCGCCATGGGCAGACAATTATAACATTTTAATACACTTATGCAAATCCAACATCTATTCATTAGTGTGGAGTGCTTTTCTTTCCCAGTTGGCATCATGCTGGCATCCTAATTAGTCAGATTTTTGAAAATAGGGATGTAAGGTGAATGCAATTAAGCCGTAGGAAAGAAAGCCAGAGGAACAGGACACAAGAGCTAACAACAGATTTTTTTTTATTCTTTACTTTCTGATTCACAGATTGCACAGCAGGGTGTAAACATGACAAAAAATGAAAGGGCATTTGACTTTACAGAGACAATTGTCTCAGAAAGTAGTTTATGTCATGGTAAAATTCTAAAATACAAAAAAAAAAGACTATAAAGAGGAACTTTTTAAGGGATCTTTGGCAAACCTGATGGCAAAAACTCCTCTGTGCCTCCTTTAAAATGCTATCTTTGTGGTAATTTGAGAGTTGTCTTATTTTGAATTATTTATACAAGCTCACAGGAAATTGCAAAAGGTCTTCAGAGAAGCAAAGTGCATATGGATATATAATACATATGCATATTATAATACGCTGTTACATAATTTTATAAGGCCACTGATCAATGCAAACTAATAAAATCATAAGATAATAAATTATCAAGCCGTCAACACAAACCTCAATCACAAATGAATACATTTCCTCTTGATAATTACCAGCTTCCTGTCACT